AATAAGTGGTTCCAAATAAAAAAAAAAACCCGGGGGAAAGAGTTAAACAAAGGGGCAACTAGATTAAGTTGGGACCTTATTAAAAAATATTAGATGCATTAAAGGAGTTGTGGAGAGAAAAACTTTCAATAAGTAGAAAATGTTATACAAATTCTTTTTATTCTCGTATCAATTTTAACTAAGATTTTATCAAATGTTGGTCATGCCTAATGTAAAAAAAATTAGGATTTCTGGCATAGACTATGAGCTGGAAGAGAAACTTCATTCTATGTTTCTTGTTGTTGGGGCTACATTATTCCAATGTCTGAGATACAACATAGGACTTCCCCTAGAATTTGGATAAGCCTTAATATGCTCATTCAAATGAAGTCCATGAGAAAGAAGCACATGAGAGAGAATAATGTGATTCAATTCAATCCAAGGGCTTTGCACCCGTACCCTCCACCCAGAAGCCTAGAAAGAAGAAAAGAAGGTTGGAGCTGAATATTTGACTAACCAAATTTCACAGCTAGTTATGAATTGCACTAATATGATGTTTAGTGCTCGAACGGTAGGGATACTAAACGATGACATAAGTCATGAAGCTACTAGACTCCACTCCTGAGATATTCGATGATATGTTGTTATATTTATTCACTATGAAACTTATGGAGAATCAAACAAAATTGGAGACTTTCAGTACGATGGTACCCGAATGAAGGATTCCTTATCTTCGCTATTTGTTAAATAAATAGTCAAGTTAATTTACGTGTTCTTAATTTCTATTTCATAATTGTGTGTAATAATTTGAACTTTTATGTCAAACAATATTATGTAATGTGTTTATGTGACATTTGATGTTGTATGTTTTGTTTAAAAGAGATAATACAACGAACAATACTCTGACATACATAAAATAGTTAGATGCTTTCATCAAGTGAAGGGAAATTATAGAGACAATGCAACGAATAATAAATACAGCTACTATAATTTGTCTTATCAGAGAGTACTACAAACCTATTTGTGTAAGACATCATGTGTGTCATCCTCATCTGTGGGTGATAATAGATTGGTGAGCTGCTCTAAGGTCATTCGGATAACATTCATAATACTTTTCGGATATCATGCAATGTTTCTCGATGAATTACAAAATGATTATGATTCGTATTGATCATCTGAATTTATACGCATGGAAGTACTAACCATCACTTTATATATTACATCACATAATGAGTCAATTCGTACTACTTCCGATTGATTCCAACACTCAATAAGATGATCAATTGATATTGTGGTTAACTTGTTGGTCATAATGTTAAACCATATTGTCAAACTCATATATCTTACGTTTGAGCCTACACTAAGAGAAATTTGTAATGTACAAGATACATGTTGTTCATCAAGATATTGATTATATTATCTATTTAATTTGCATGTATGTTT